TCTGGGGGATGGTGGAGGACAGGAAGGCCTGGAGGAATGTTGTCCATGGGGTTGCGATGGGTCGGATGCGACTTCGCAACTAACAACAAAAGTGGTACCTCAGTTCACAAACTTAATCTGTTCCATGATTCTGGTCGCGACCCAAATTGGTCACGAGCCAAGTCAAATTTGTCCATAAGGTTCAATGTAAATATGGTTAATCCATTCTGTAAATATTTTTTTAATCACAAAAATTTGAAACAAAGTAACAAAGTACAGTACAGTAGAGAACTCTAACCTAGGTGGGGGGAAGATAATTGGAGGGAGAGTCTGCAACCGCGATCTCGACTAGAGGAAGCTGCGACCATGTGTCAGTGGGGAAGATGGCTGTGGTCGTGTTTGTGCGATCGCGGCCATTTTCCCCACACGAACATGCTCTGACACTTGGTTGCAGTGCTGGGAAGATAGCCACGATTGTGTTCGTGTGGGGAAGATGGCCGCAATTGCAGCCATGTTCCCGCACGAACATGATTGGGATTGTGGTCATCACCCGATGTGGAGTTCGCAAACTGAGGCAATTTTTTTCCAAAATTTCTGTTCGCAACCTGATTTGGTCGTGAACTGAAGTGTTCGTGAGCAGAGGTACCACTGCATTTGTGCTTTTTCCCTCTTACTCCTGCTTCCAATATATTCCTAACTGGTATTTTCAGTATGACTCCTCCAGCCACATTATCTAGGTTTTTTCCCCTTTTGGCGGGGGGGAAGGGGAGAGAGAAGAGCAGGCAGATGAAGCAGGATGCAGATAAATGTCTCCATCTGAAAAGCAGGAATAGACCTCTCTGATTACCCAATGTACCCCTGCCTCCAGTATAACTTTCCTGTTTCCAAGCCTAGGTCACCTAGCTGGGTGACAGCAACTGGGTTACACAACATGATAACCTATTGCAGCTTTGAGCTCAGCCAGAGGTGGCCATTCCCTTCTGGGCCCCCCTCCCCATTCTGGTTCCCTGCTCTGCACTCCTGCTGATGCTGGCAAAGAAGCTGCTGTCCATCTGCCCCCCCCCCCCCCCCCCCCCCCCCCCGCACTCCTGGAGAGACCCCTGGGACACTACAGGGTGGGTAAGGAAGGAGGAGGGAAGAAGGCAGGAAGAAGGCAGGAAGGTAGAGGGACATGCTATCACATTTCCCTGACTCATGGCTGTGCCTTATTATCTATTAGGCATAGAGGATTTTACCAGCAGTGCAAGGGTGAAACTCCCTGGGGAGTTAATGTGTTGTGAAACTTGTGCAGTGGACACTTCTACCTGAGGCTTTTGCTGTGCAATCTGTTGGCAGGCTCCCTGGAGAGTCACATTGCCCTCGTCCTCTGTAAAGTGGTTCTGCTGTTTTAAGAAGCACAGCCTGGCACTCTATAAAAAGAACAGCATTTGAGGGCTTGCAAATCCATGCTGGAGCAGTGTGGAGTCCAAAGCAAGTGGCCTTGTCATTAGGTCATTAGCATCTGGTCACATATGCAGGGCAAAAGTTCACTGCTATGACTTATTCAAGACACACCAATTCAAGTGCTGTGCAGTTAGATTAAGGTACATCAAGCAGAAACCAGGTGCAAATGTACCCCAGGCAAAGTGTTGCATAATTGATGATACGTAGGGTGGCCAGTCAGAGGTTGCCCACCCTTAAGCATAGCAGAATTCTTGATTTGATCAGATGTCAAAGAGGGTTTGCTGAGCTGCTAAAAAGGCATTCTTGCAGCAGCTGCATGTTTTCTTTTGTTCAAACACCAGGAGAACCCAGCACTTACTGGCCTCTGTATTTTGGCCCTCCCAAATCCCATTAGCTTTCAGACTTTCCTCTTTTCACTGAAATCATGTCTCTGGCCCTCCCAAGGTCATAGGACCATGTGCTTCTTTACCACAAACTGATGGGTCCCTGGCCTGCCAAATTTTGTGCACCCCTTTTGGGGTGTGCACCAAGCACAGTGTTCTCTCACTACCCTGCTGAAATTACTTCAGAATAACTCGGTGTGATGGTTGTTGATAAGACAAACAGCAACAACTACACTATGCATGATCACTATTAATAACAATATTGTTACTTTTTGCATTTAATTTCTGAAGTCTGTAATTTTTTACTACCCATCACATCTTGTCCCACAATATGTACTGCATGGAAACCGGAAACTTCACAGCATTACATGCATATGATAAAGTCAGTCCATGGAGGTTTACACCAGAATAGTTTTTAAGGATGCCTTTGCCCCAACTGGGCACCATCCAGTTGTGTTGGACGACAACTTCCAGCATGCCCAGCAAACACCTTACTGTCCCTGGGGTCTTGCTGAAATAGACACAGGGGCCCTGATAATTTCCTCCATCTGATCCTCCTGTTTTAGTGGGGGGGGAGGGGCGGTGCCTACATGCGCTTAACTCCCTTCTGTTCTCTCCCTCCCCTTGAATCTTTCTGTCCGAGTTTTTTTTTCCGTTTCCTGTAATCAAATACCTGCATCTCACTTGTCCCATACATCTGTTTATAAATTGTTGTTGTTGTTGTTGTTAGTCCCAAAGTCGACCCATCGCAACCCCATGGACAACATTCCTCCAGGCCTTCCTGTTCTCCACCATCCCCCGGAGGCCACTTAAGCTCATGCCAACTGCTTCCGTGACTCCATCCAGCCACCTCATCCTCTGCCGTCCTTCTTCTTTTGCCATCTATTGTTCCCAGCATTAGGCTCTTCTCCAGGGAGTCCTTCCTTCTCATTAGGTCGCCAAAGTATTCGAGTTTCATCTTCAGTATCTGGCCTTCTAAAGAGCAGTTAGGGTTGATCTCCTCTAGGACTGACCAGTTTGATCACTTTGCAGTCCAAGGGATTCGCAGGAGACTCCTCCAGCACAATTCAAAGGCTTTAATTCTTTGGCGCTCAGCCTTCCTTATGGTCCAACTTTCACAGCCATACATTGCAACTGGGAAAACCATAGCCTTTACTACACGCAGGGCTGGCAGGGTGATATCTCTGCTTTTTAGCATGCTGTCTAGATTTGCCATAGCTTTCCTCCTCAGGAGCAAGTGTCTTTTAATTTCTTGGCCGCAGTCCCCATCTGCAGTGATCTTGGAGCCCAGGAAAATAAAATCTGTCACTACCTCCATTTCTTTCCCAACTATTTGCCAGGAAGTGAGAGGACCGGATGCCATGATCTTAGTTTTCTTAATGTTGAGTTTCAAGCCAACTTTTGTACTCTCCTCCTTCACCTGCATCAAGCGGTTCTTTAGTTCCTCTTCACTTTCTGCTATGAGAGTGGTATCATCTGCGTATCTGAGGTTGTTGATATTTCTCCCAGCAATCTTAATTCCAACTGGTGATTTATCTAGCCCCGCCTTTCTCATGATGCGTTCCGCATATAAGTTAAATAGGCAGGGCGACAGTATACAGCCTTGCTGAACTCCTTTCTCAATTTTGAACCAATCAGTGGTTCCATGTCCAGTTTTCACTGTTGTTTCTTGACCCACATATAGGTTTCTCAAGAGACAAATAAGATGGTCTGGTACTCCCATCTCTTTAAGAACTTGTCACAATTTGTTGTGATCCACACAATCAAAGGCTTTAGCATAGTCAATGAAGCAGATGTTTTCCTGGAACTCCCTAGCTTTCTCCATGATCCAGCATATGTTGGCAATTTGATCTCTAGTTCTTCTCCCTCTTCAAAATCCTGTCTGTACTTCTGGTAGTTCTCGGTCCACATACTGCTGGAGCCTAGCTTGTAGGATTTTCAGCATAACTTTCTTAGCATGTGAAATGAGTGCAATGGTGTGGTAGTTTGAACCTTCTTTGGCATTGCTCTTCTTTGGGATCAGAATGTAAACTGACCTTTTCCAATTCTGTGGCCACTGCTGAGTTTTCCAAGTTTGCTGGCATATTGAGTGTAGCACTTTTTACTGCATCGTCTTTTAAGATTTTGAATAGCTCAGCTGGAATACTGTCACCTCCACTAGCTTTGTTGTTGCTCAGACATCCTAAGGCCCATTTGACTTCACATTTCAGGATGTCTGGCTCGAGGTCAGTGACCACCCCATCGTGGTTATCAGGGACGTTAAGCTTTTTCTTGTATAGTTCCTCTGTGTAATCTTGCCACCTCTTCTTAATCTCTTCTGCCTCTGTTGGTCCTTTATCATGCCCATCTTTGCCCCTGCCATTTTGGTCCTTTATCATGCCCATCTTTGCATGAAATGTTCCCTTCAGATCTCCACTTTTCTTAAAGAGATCTCTGGTCCTCCCTATTCTATTGTTTTCTTCTATTTCTTTGCACTGCTCATTTAAGAAGGCATTCTAATCTCTTCTAGCTATTCTCTGGAATTCTGCATTCAATTGGGTGTATCTTTCTCCCTTGCCTTTCACTTCCCTTCTGTCCTCAACTACTTGTAAGCTTCCTCAGACAGCCAGTTTGCTTTCTTGCATTTCTTTTTCTTTGGGATGGTTTTAGTTGCTACCTCTTGCACAATGTTGCGAACCTCCATCCATAGTTCTTCAGGCACTCTATCAGATCTAATACCTTAAATCTATTTGTCACCTCTACTGTATATTCATCAGCCATGATTTAGGTCATACCTGAGTGGCCTAGTGCTTTTCCCTATACAAGTGGATTTTCCTTAAGAAACAGGGGCTTTCAAAGACGCGCGTGTGCACACACTTTGAGTCTATAATTAGCGTATGCAATTATACAGTTCTTTTTGCCCTATGCACCTAAGTCCCCGGAGCTCTCTAATGCCTAGCACCACTCTTGGGGAGGGTTAAACGCTCCTAAATTTGGGGAGCAAGTCCCGCCGACTGCCCTTCGTCCGTTCCTAAGCAAGGAGCATTCCCTGCACACGGCTGGCTCGTCCAACGTAGCCAAGGTCTGCCACACCTGGCCTCGCAGACAAAAGCCCCGGCCACGCCGCACCTTGAGACGCTTGCTCCAGCCATGCGGAGGCCGTACGGGTGGGTGGATGAGCAAGTGCGGAGGAGGAGAGAAGGGCGGGCAGCCGAGGGAGGTTGGCCGCCTCGTTTGCCTCCAGGAAGTCCGAGAAGGAGAAACATTGACTCTAGCAACGGCAGCCGCACCGAGGTGAACTAGTCGCCTATCAGCAACAGGTCGCCGAGCCGAAAGCGACAGGCATGGCGAGCCTCAAGCAGCAGCGCAACGCCAAGAACACCTCTGGTAAGGGCGTCGCAGCGCGCCGAGGAAGCTTGTTTAAAGGGCTGTACTTTTGCGCGTGGCGGAACCGAGCGGCTTTGAGGCAGAACGAGTGGGGCCGAGCGGGGGGGAGGATTTGGCCCCTGCCTTGCTCTGCTTCTCTGTCTGGTCCTCGGAGGACTGGGCGCCCCCCCGCCCCCCAGCACTGGGTGACGGTCCCTTCGCCACGGCAGCGAGACAGACTTCGGGCCAAAAGGCAGCCGTTAACTAGAAGGCTGCGCGTGCGCGGGTCGCTTCAAGACTGCAGAAAAATGGGTGCTGCTTGTGGGCGAAGAGGTGTCTTGCTGGAAAAGGGAACCCGCAAGTTCAACTTGAGTCAGATTCATGCCAAGATTTTCTCTGAGCACACGCAGATTGCTTTCTCCGTATGCCTTTTACACGAAATAAGCTCAAAGCTTTCAGGTGGAAGTGGTTTAAGCGTCTGTTTCATACGCATATGCACAAACACACCGGGATTCCCTTCGACCAACGGCACTGCGCGCTATGAAAATGCATGTTAAGCACGCGAAGGGGAGAAAGGTCTTTCTGGGATCTGGTGCAAGCAAAAAGGAACCGGGAACATCCATTGTTAAACCGGGGGGAATGGAAGCCAACGGCCGTCTTCCCTGCAGGCCAGAGCGAGCAGTGCAGCCTCTGTTCACACGCCCGACCTTTGTTCTTCTCGCTTTGTGTCTGCAGCTCCTCCCAACGGGCGGCCGCTGTCTTCTCGCCTTGCCGAGTCTCTTCCGGTATTGGCCCGTCTGTTCCGCTCACGTAGTAGCCGGAGCAAAGCGGCGGCCGCGGCGCAGTCTTTTCCAGGGCGTTGTAGCCGCTGGGCTCGTTTGGCATCGGTCCCCGAGAACGCTGCGTATTGAGCGATGCTGCCGAGCTCTGCGCACGCCAAGTTTTGACGGGACCCGGGTCGAACAGACCGCAAAGGCGTCCCTTTGTCAAGGCTTTTTGTTTGGCAATAACAGAAGTACCCATGCGGCAGCTAGCTAGTGATTGCAGCAATCCAATCTGGTGACCTCCCGTTGTTTTGGACTACAACTTCCATCAGAGCCAGGATAACCAGTGTTCCACAGTGCAGGGAGCTGTCACCTCAAACGTCTAAGTGAACAAAGTGGTGGGATTCAGGGCCACCGCAAAAATCGTTACGGCAGCAGCGCTTATCTCCTGGGACAGACACACAGTGCGCCCAGCTGCATGCAACAGAATGCGCCCCTCTCCCCACAGTCCTGCATCACAGCAACATTCTGCACTTGCGCAAAATTCAGGAAAAAAGGGCACAATATTCCTACTTGGTAATCACACTTCTGCAGTATTTCAGTGCAGTGAATTGGGCTAAGTCCTGATTTCCTACCTCAGCTGTACACATAGCTGGATGGCAACAGCAATGCCCCCCCCCACCCAGATGTTTCAGGATTTGGGGCTCTCACAGAGTGTTTACACTTTAATTCCAGGGCTGCATTTGGGAGCATTCCTGGTTAAGGGCCTAACATCATACCCTCAGAACACCAACATTTGTTTGTTTTCAGTTGTTCCTGTTTTTAAAAAATATACTTACGTGGATTTATCCAAAATGCGTACGGCTTTATACATAGTCTTTAACAGAAGTTAACAGATACACAGATAAGTACTATCTGGCATCTATATGCCATAGATTTATACAGCAAAAGCATTGTAAGGTCCTCCATTGCATTTTAGAAAATGAGTGCTGATCCTCCCAGTTTGGTGAAATGGTATTTTAGCTGTCAAAAGGGACAAGAGAATGCATTTTGACTTTCAATTCTTAATTTTCAGGAAACGGATAAGTAATTCAAAAGCATGGGTACATCAGTGAATGTTAGACTCTTTGAATACAACATTTGTATGTGATAACCTCCAAAAAAGGAGCAGCTTCTAAACATTGCCAAAACATGTTTCAAAGATAGCTGCATAGCATTTGCTGCAGTGCACCGCTAGTAATTTGCTGGATAACAAATATTAAAGGGATGTTGTAGTAGACACGGCCTAAGATGGATAGGCAGATGTGACAGGCAGATGTTGAAGCAATAATCTACTGTTTAGGCATTTTGTGGTGGTGTCCACAGCAGTTTCTCAGATCCCTGTAGACCTCGCCTATATAGTGTGCACACCCAGTTTGTTGCATTTGTAGAGGGTGCATACCAGAAAAAAAGGCTTTTCCACTTCTCAGGGACACCTGCAAGTCTGGTACACGTGACGGTGGGAGAGGCACCTCTTGTGCCTTCCTTGGTGTAGGCTTCCTACTGAGGTGGGAAACCATTCAAGAAAAAAAAGGGATTAAAAAGAAGGAACAGTATCTGGCCAGGGCCAACTCTGTGTTAGCAGAAAATGTACTTAAAAGTGAAAGCATTTCCTTATGGGAAACTGGCTGTTTCCCATGTCATTCAGCTTAAAAATATCGAGGAAAGTTCCAGGGCATGGTCTGAATGCACATGAGTCAATTGTCTTGCTAAGCTAAGGGTTTCTGTGCTGGTCAGTGCTTGGAGGAGAGATCACGTGGGAACCACATGGGGCTACCTTGAGTTCATCAGTAGAAAAGAGATGGGATCTAAAAATAATAAAAAATATAGACTATACAAAGTTATAACTCATTTGCTGATTATGCGTACCTTAATATGGTGTATTGTGATCAGTTATGAAGTGTTACTGGAAATACTGGGCTGAACCCTAAGATTTGTGGAGGGAGGGTCCTTTCCTCTCCACAATAGTCCATTGTATTCTCTCCAAAACATCAGAGGATTGAGGACTGCATGGGGCATGAGGAGGTGAACAGAACAGAGTGTCTTCTGGGTGTTTTCGTTCAGCATCCAAGTCAATATTACTGACCAAAAAGTAAATAGCTATAAAACAACAATAGTCCCGCTAAACCTAGAATCCTACAAAAGATTCGCAAGGAAAGAAGGGGAAGTGAAGAGCGAACTTAAAATATATCAATGACCACAGTTAGGGTGCAATCCAAAGAAGCTGTCCATAACACACTGAACTTGGAGGAATATGGGCATCCTATATGCATTGGAGGAACATGGAGGCAAAGATCCCCTCTGCTTTCCCTCTCTATGCAAACCCTTGGATAGCTGAGTGTGTCCATCTAGTGCTTGAGCTTGAAGCAGGCAGAAAAGAGTGTGAGCCACTGCAAGGATCCTGCATATTCTGGGGGAGCATGTCTCTTCCTGGCCCCCAAAATAACTTCTCAGAGCGCCCTCTTGTGCCCTCGGAGCTGCAGTCAGCGCGGTTCTTCCTGTGCTTGCTGCAAGGGCTAGAAGGAAGGTGCACCACATTCAGAGTACAAGCACTAATTAACCTTGAAGCAAATTTCCAGGGCTGGAGCTGGAACTCCAAAAAAATCCTATGGCTGTGCAGGCACTTGCCAGTAGCAATAGTAATGTGCTGCATCAGGTTGGAAATTGTGATCACGTTAATCACCATTTCTTCTAAACTGCTTTATGTTCACTTGTCAATCAGAAAAGGAGGAGGATGCTATTTGTGAAGGTCAGGATGGGCAGGAACACAGAGAGGATGAAGAGACTGTGGACCACATGCACCACATGGCAGCCCGTTCTGAATCAGTTTAATGAGCACTGAGGAAACACTACGTTATCTAATAGTTGTAAAGCTGACATTTGTATGTATCAGTGTTTTCCTGTTTCTGGTGTGGGGTAAATATAATAACAAACGTGGATGGGAGAGAGATTAGACACTCTGGACCAACACAATTGTTTACAAAAGCTGAAAAGGAATTGTTTCAAGTAATGCTTTTGTTGCTATGAACGAGATACTGATTATTGCTTTCTCCTGTAGGAGATATCCATGTGGACTGCAGGAATGAGTTCCAATTCAAAGGTAAATTACCATTTGCTATAAATATAATTGGAGATGAACCTTTCTAAGTAGCAACAGATCAAGGCAATTTGTAGGAGGAACAAGCCCTTCTCTCAGGAATATGGGGAGAGGTGCAAAGATCTAGAGATGGATCTGATCTAGGTAGATGGAATGTTCTTTCCATTAAAAGATGCTGGATTGTTTGAATAACCCCAGGGAATTAACCAAGAATCACGTTAGATTTGTAGAGGCGATTTATTATGTCCTTATAATGTTGTTCTATACATGCTTGTAGAAGAGGTTTGAAGATGTCCTTTTGTTCCTTCGGGGTATGGGCTGGCTCAAAACTTCATTCCTGAGCCACATAGAGTAGCATGTGGCTTGCACGTGGTTGTATCCAAGCATCTGTAGATACTTATCTATGGAACAGAAAATAGATGATGTGTGAATGGATGCCAGGAAGAATATAATCATTAAAGTGGTTATTTTTTATTTTTGATTGAGCAATACTGCTTCAGACTTAGTTTGAAGATTTTGATGACATGGAAGAGTGGGTTTTTTAAAAGCTGAAATACAGATCTGTTTGTTTACTGGGATTGCAGGGGGGAAATTAAGGCTGTAAGCCAGTATACAGTTATCTGTTCATGTGATTTATTCAAAACAAATATGTCTTTTTAAAAATCACTAATCACAGATTTAGAGGGCAGTGTTTCAGGAGCAGCTTCCAAACCCATAAGCTACTACTAAAGTCCTAATGCAAATTTCTATTTAATTATCCTAGATCAAGATATTTTATAAAAATATTGATTGCATGTAATTTATATTTGAAAATATGCTGTTTTGTTATTGACATTCAAATGCACCTTTAAGTATGCAGGGCTCAAAGATGTTCCAAATTATTTTTGTGTTACAGATGGACAGCAAAACTTCACAGAAGCAGATGCCATTGATAACAGGTGAAGATGCTTGAGAAGTTGTTTTCTGGCTTATGCCAGTCACCATAATGACTATATTCCAGTCATTCACAGAGATTATAGATTCTGTGCCAAGGTTCTGACAATACAAAGACAGATGTTTTAGGAGCCCTCAAAACAGATTTATAACAGATTTTACTGCAGGATTAGACTTCCATCTATACCAGGGGTTCTCAGACTTTTTGAACAGGGGGCCAGTTGACGGGCCAGCAGTAGCTGTGGGCCGCCAAGGCAAGGCAGAGACGGGGAGGGGGGCATGGGGCGAGGAGCTGGCTTGCTCGTGAGGAGAAAAAACAAACTCCCACAATCAAGCTGCTGCTGACTTGCTCACTAGTTTTCTCCAAGCATTTCTAAAACGACCTCCTCGCCCAGCGAGTGCAAAACCTGTGGGGTGTGCCAGTTAAAAGGGCATGGCGGGCTGGATTTGACCCTCGGGCGTTAGTTTGAGGACCCATGATCTATACTGTATTTCTTTACTAGACTAAATGTATTTAAGTCAGATATTTTCATGTAGAAATATTATGCGACTTACAAAAATACATTAACAAATAAGAGCTATGAAGTGAAGATCTTCCAGAATATCTAAAACAGGTCTACATAGAAATGATATAATTATACAATTAATAAGCATCAGTTAATAGTCAACATCCAGGCGAGAGAATGCTAAGTTGCAGCTAAAAGTCCATCAGCATACAAACAGAACTCAAGAATAGAACTATTGATACTGCAGTGTAAATTTTATATTGTATGTTTTATATTATATATTTGTATTTTACTGTTTATATTTTAAAATGTTATTTTAACTTTTTGTTGTAAGCCGCCCCGAGGCTTCGGCGAATGGGGCGGCATAAAAATGTTTTAATTAATAAATAAATAAATAAATAAATAAATAAATAAATAAATAAATACCAATGGTAAATCCCCAACCACCAGCAGCAGTTTCATGTAGATGATAAAGGCATAAGTGATACGACAGATTTTGTGGCAACTCACAGGCCAAAGATCATGGGGTGGAATAGAAACCCCCACCCAATTAGGACGATCCAAATCTATTGTAACTCAGTGCTTTCTAAGCCCAACCCAGACAAGTGATCTGAAAGGCTACTATGGTGAATGGACCCGAAAGCTGCAGGTTGCAGCTCCATGTCCGTATCTTGGGCAACTAGGACTGTTTCTGGATCATGACAAAGTCCATGCCCTCAGCAAGCTAAATGGTACTCATAATAATATGACCAGATGGTGCACTGGTCGCATTTCTCTCTTTCAGAACTGCCATGTAAGCCAGTTCTCGTATTACAGATATGAGTAATGTTAACTGCAAAATTTCCAGCAGCTTAGTCAAAGTGAGTCATCCAAGAGTTTGGGCTGTTGCATTGCAGCAACCACACCAAGCGGGACATTTACCAGCTCTGGTGGAAATAAAATTTCATTGCTGCTGTCTCTGCTACCAAGTGAGATTGAAGTTGGATTAGGCGGGGTTCCTTCTCACATGGAGCTTCTAAGTGTGTTCCACTTCATTTATTGAGTATTTAACCAAACATGCTTGATACCCTTTTTTAGACTCTCATGTAGAATGCCCAAAAGTCTTTAGGGGATCCTCTAAGGGCGCTGAGGACAGGGCTTGTGAGTGTGTGCCTGCCCTGTCGCACAACCCAATTTTGTGTCTGCATAGAGTTCTGGATACACTTTTTAGAGAAAGTATCAAGGTAATAATAAGAGACTGCTAAAAAAGACTTTGAGTGTTACCAATTGACCTGGCCCTCAAGTAGTAAATAAGTAGCACTCTGGATCTTCACAGTAGCACATTAAGTGGGCACTTGAGTTGTCTAAGCGTTGAGTTCGGAGACAATCAAGGCTTCTGAAGTTAACCCCCATGTGTGACCCTCTTAATTGGTAATAAGGCTTAGATCTATTGACAATCATCAGAAGTACTGTTTGTGCACTTCTCTGATTCCTAGCTATCAACTTGTTCTAACTGAATCAGAAGGGATATATGAATATATCAGAGATTATATTTGTTAATTGAATGCATTATTTTTGAAGAATCCAGCTCTTTGATCCAGCAATGGAGTACAAAATGAGCCACAAGAGAAGAGGAATTGCTCTGATCTTCAATCATGAGAGGTTTTTTTGGCACTTAACATTACCAGACAGACGTGGTACTTCTGCTGACAGAGAAAACCTGAAACGCATGTGAGATCTTTGTTCTTTAAAATTAGTTTTCATTAGTGCAGTGTGTGTGGGGAACTCAGTTCAACTTCCTGTCATTTCTAAATCAAAAAAGGGCTGAAGTATTTTGTTTTTGCTAAAGATGAACTTCTCATGATAGATTGGGAGAAAGATTGGTATCTCCGCGAAAACGGGTATAGTTCCAGCTGTGAATCCTTCAGTGCAATGCCACTTTAGCCAGGAACTTGCCACTTGGCCTTAGACAAGCCATTATCTCGTAGTCTTTCTCTTTCTGGGACTACAGGGATAATAGAACTGGTCTGCATTATAGGGCACAATGAGAGGATCATGGAATATGTATGTGAGGCACTCTGACTACTCTGAAACAAGAGGGTGGTAGAGCTTCATCTCCTAGTTTTATCTCAGGCTGTTTGCCGTAGGTTAGCAAGATTTTCTGATTCAGAATGGTTTGACAGCTACAACAAAATGATACTACTATCCTGAATTATGCCACTAAATGAAAAAAGCTTGGTGTCTGTGCAGAAGGATTATGGACTCCATTCAGTTCCTAAAACAATTTGCTGGGCTCAGAATTCTTTTATCCTAAGTGCAAAAACAGATGCTACTTTTAAGATACAGCTAGCAGATATGTCTTCTATCTCCATTTTTAGTTTAGGGTTTGCACAAGGTTCCTGATTCAGGTTGGAACCATAGTATGGGGAGTTAGGGGATATAACCCCCCATTTATAATTGTATTGCAAAATGGAGAGCTCTTTGTTTTATTGAACTGCTGTGCAGTTCAGGCTGCTGTACAAGAAGGCCACCCAATTTAAACTGGCTTATCTTGTGATTACTTTTATTCTGTTCTTTCCTTACCATTTTGCAGAATTCATGTCATAGGAAACTGGTTAGTTGTTGGTGCTTGATACAGTTTCTAAAGCTGCATGTTTAGATGTTTATTCCTCTTCTCAGCAAGGAGGAACAAAGTTTCATAAAACAATAACAAGTAGTAAGAAGTTGGTTTTTTTATGAATAGTTTGACTGAGCTTGGATTTGAAGTGAAGTGCTTTGATGACCTTAAAGCAGAAGAAGTGTTACAAAACATTTACAATGGTAAGTTATTTTTAGAGTCATTTCTGCTACCCATTTCTAGTGAATGTTTGAATTTGTTTACTTTTCCTTAATACAATTCTTAATACAAAAGAACTTTCCAAGAAAGTGAAGAAATAATTCTTACCACTAACTTGTAGCCGTTGCATATCTTCTTATTAACTGCTCCATAATACCTAGATTGACAAGTCTATTGCTGAATCAACATTCTTTATATTTAATAAATAAAATGCTTTGCTACTGTTGGTGGCTTATGCTGGAGAGTTCCAACAGAAATACTAGAATGAAACTGTTTTTGAACTTCAGTTCCAAAGCAGAAAGCCAGAATGTACTAATTGGGTTATAGGAAAATTCTGAGGGATAGGATTGCCCCATAGAAAATCTCTGTCCAGTAGTAGTGTAATTTTCTTGAGGCAATTACTTCTTTGGTATGAATCTCAAATAAATTGGAGGTTAGGAGTCCCAAAGATCCTGGGATGCTCCCATAGCAGGCAGGTGGTTACTAAGGAGGAGAGTATTCCCAGTGCTTTACCCCAGGGATTCCTTTGTGCTGAGCCCAGCTCCAAAGTTAGCCAAGAAAAATGTATGCTACTTGACCAACCATTGATTTGAAAGTCACTAATTAAATTGGAACATTATCTTGCAGTGGCCACAGAGCAGCATGACGATGCAGACTGCTTTGTGTGTGCTTTCTTGAGCCATGGAGAAGATGATCATGTTTACGCCTATGATGCTAAAATAAAGATACAGTCATTGACCAGCATGTTTAAAGGAGACAAATGCCCGAGTCTTGTAGGGAAGCCAAAAATCTTTATAATTCAGGTGAGATAATGTAATATATGAGAAATAAGAGATCAAAATCACTTTTGCACAAAGTACAGAGTTGTGCCTTTTTTAGAAATAGGAGGAAAGGATTAAAAATGAGCAAAAACTGCAGGTGAGCTGAGACATTAGCATCACTCTAGTTACTTCTGGTTTGCATACCACAAGGGCAAATGATACAGTCTGGATAAATCAAACCAAACTAAAATGAAGCATACAGTTCAAGATGATATAATAATCAGTACATGGGGCAGGGGTTTCGGGTGAAATTCAAAGAAACCAGACTCAGAACAATTGAGAATACAATACAACTAACAATCTACTTACTGCGTTGTGCAGTTCCCCCTCTCAGTTGGGCAGGCAGAGAAGAATGGTGGTGTTCAGGAAATGCAAATTAATTCCTCCATCACAGCTTCATTGAGGTTACTAGGCGTTCTGACAACCCACGGGTTGCAGTAGTTGTTGTGCCCGTGGTGGGCTGTTGCGTTGACTGAACCCAGGTGACCACCAGTTACCGAGCAGTTTGGTAAGAGCAAAACCCTTTACTGCTCTGGCCAAGCAGCTCTCAGGTGATGCACACTAAAGATGCAGCCATTTTGATAGCGGTGGACAGTCCCTTCCAAGTGCTCCAGTGGTTCCTTGGAGGGGCTGCCCATAGTTGCCTTTTTTTTTGCATTCCTTCCCCAGTTTTAGTAAATACTTGTGCAACTGTGGGAATAGGTGGTTATTGTGCAGGGAGGTGTCCAGGCTGGTTGGTTCTAGAGTCATCTGAGCTAAGGGTGCCCTCATATTTATACTCGTTTCCAAGATTCTACCACTTAGGGGGCATGCAAAGCTGCAGGCCACTCCATTTCCAGGGGTAGTTTACCTTGACTGCTGTCAAAGGTAATTCATGTTTAAAGTAGGATTTTGAGAGCATGAGCAACCTCTCCCAGGAAATGAAATGGTTTATTTTGTTGCAGGGAGACAACTTGGAGGGCCAGGAGGGGAGAAGGGTTAAAGAAAACTACCAGTGGTTAATCTGATGGTCTGTTGGGCACACAATGGGTTGTTTGGATGACAACCAGCCCACTATGGCTTATTGCCAGGGCAGGTTGTCATGCTGTGCTGTGCAAACGTATCCATCCTGTTCATGGTTGCCAGTTATCAAAGGCGCCTTGTCTGTTGTGTATTGCAATGCCATAGTAGATTGTGCCACTTTCACTGTTTTAAACATTGCCTTTTGCTTCAAAGCATTTCCATGATAGGAGGTGTAAGAACAGGCTTTTAACAATCAGTGTGTGCTGCATTTTCCAAGCTAAGGCTCAGCAAAGCATAAACAAAAAGTAATTAACCTTGGTATATTCAATGCATGTGAATGAATAGGGCCTTTTCAGGTTGATCAGAAAGGGTTATGCTTTAGAATGGCGTTCCACTACTATATTTCATTTCAAAGAGCACTTTCCCCTGCCAGGCGTGCCGAGGAGATAAGCATGATGACCCAGTCCTCTTTCATGATACAGTGGACAGCAAAAAAGAGTCAGAAATAAATGAGATCACGGTGGATGCCGCTGCGGTGTATACATTACCTGCTGGCGCTGACTTTCTCATGTGTTACTCTGTAGCAGAAGGTAAAATCCATTTTATGTTTTCACTAAACTTACTTGGTGGTAACATGAAGGGAAGCATTTATCTTACAAAATAAGGAGACAAATTCCTTTTAGTTTTTTCTACACTTGCATTATTGGCTTGTTGCACAAAGATTAACAGTGTATTTGATATACGTGTATGTAAATATCAGCATTGGTTATCAAGCTTTTGAGGATCGCAAATTAAACCTTCCTAAGAGAGAGTAAAAAGCTGGAATGAAGGAACTGCTTCCTCCATGAAATTAATCAGTAAGATCATGGGCAGGTAAAGATGCTCATATACCTGTTGTCCCTGTGCAGGAAGAGTAGAGACGACTGTGTCATATATGAGAAACTCGTACAATTAGCACCATTCCTACTGAGGCGAACCCAGTGCCAGTTATCCCTGCTCCATAGTGTGCTGACTAGCCTCTCCCTTGAGCATTCATGCAAATACCTGCAGAGGTGTGTTGACACAGCAGGATGTGTGGAGGCTCCCCCGTGATATGGAAAGCTTCACCTCTCCACTTGTACTCCCAAAGCCTTCCTCACTGTCATCTGGGCTTTCACGACCTAAGCACAGTGCAGTAGTCACACAGATAAATTAATCCACTGGAAGCAGTCATGTGTGAACCAGGTCATTATACAGTGTAGGGGTTTCTCTCCCCAACCCAAGTCTTACTTAGACCAAACTTGCAGAAAGATGCCACAAGCACTCCTCCCCTGGGCCCATTAACTGGTTTCCCTCCTCAGGTCTGCCAAGGGCCAGCTGTTTTTTTTTTTTCTGCCTACCAGTTTTGTCACTTTTTGCTATTCTGGAGAGCAGGATCCTTGCTGCCATCTGCTCTTCTTGAAAGAGTGAGCTATCCCTTAATCATTCCTGTGCTGGGAATGAATTTCCCTCATGATCGATATAAAAATGAAATGCGTTTTGGAACAGGATGTGCAGTAATGTAATTTTACTAAGATGCTGGGCTCAATTGTCTTAGAACTTCTTCCAGTGGTAATGCACTAGTACGTCAAACATGGTAAGCCAGCCCTGCTGTGTTTGGAGGCTCTTGAGCCCATCTTGCTGACTGGAGGCCTGGGCTTCTGCCCCAAAGTCTTGACAAGATTACACTGGTGGATTTTCACCTCTCCAAAAGCAATGAGTTGATTTAAGTAACACCTAGGTGACTCACAGCAAGTTAAGAACAGTGAATTTAAGTTTGGGATAAAAGGTTCTCTCTTAACATTACAAAAACAGTATTTTCTTCTTTTCCAATAGGGTACTATTCTCACCGTGAGACAGTAAATGGTTCTTGGTATATTCAAGATCTCTGTGAGATGCTAAGAAAGCATGGCTGTTCCCTGGAGTTTACAGAGCTACTGACATTGGTTAACAGAAAGGTGTCTCACCGCAGAGTGGATGTATGCAGAGATCCACTTGCTCTGGGAAAAAAGCAGGTTCCTTGCTTTGCATCAATGTTAACTAAGAAGCTGCATTTCCGCCCAAAGTCTAAGTAGCACAGGACAGAAGTAACAGATCCACTTTTGTGTTTGCTGTAGAGGACGTATCAAACCAAACTCACCACATACTTGAAATACTAGATAGAGAGAATTAGAGCGCAATTCTGTACCCATTTACCTGGGAGCAAGTAGACATGTATAGGACTGTGTTGTAAAATGTACACTGTTTGATTTACTTGATATCACACCAGCATTGACATTTTGTTCAACAGGCAGCACCATATAATGTGGCTGCCTGCAACTCTTCATACTTGGAGGTGTCATGGGCATTCCATTGAGGGCTTCTACCAGCTAAGATTTTTGCCTTGGATCATGAGGACACAGCTGAGGTGCTGCCAGATTATATGGTGTTGTGGCAGAACCTCACTTCTCTCTTTGAACCTTGCAGCTGCAGCCAGTGCAGAAAGAACCAGGCTGGATGCGAGGGTAGAGGAAGGACATTCCAAAGAAAGAATCCCACCTCTGACCTTGCAGTACAATTCTGGGGTTGGAGTTGCGGGTGACGCCTCCCTATGGCAGTCTAGATGACATGTAGCACTGCAAGACTGCATCCTCAAATCAGGTGTAACGTTATGAAATGGAAAGACTCATGCAGTAAAATGACAGCCAGCAAGAACGGTTTTCCTATCCATTTCGAAAGGTTTCAAAATTCGGAACTCAACAGCACGGCACGTAGAAATTCCAAATAAATATTTTACACTGGCTGTGTATGAAATTAATTAATTTCAAAATTTCAAAATTAATTTGAAATTAATTTCAAAATAAATATGAAATTTAACATTCCAGGATTAACTACTTTTTGATGTACTGTATTTGAAATTGATTAGAAGTCAACATTACACTAGCCTCAGGGAGTTTTAGAAAATAAAAGTCAGTGCTGACATTTCAGTAATAAGGGTAGAAGGGTAGAACTGATCGTATTTTTGCTGTTTGTTTACACTAAGTTACTCTTTATAGCACATTTTGTAAGTGAAATTTGGTGCTTTTAAATGGTTTTGATAGTTCTGCTTATACATTTGCAATAATCTTCAGGGATCACTACCTTAATCCTTTCTGCTGGATTGACCTCCCTGCCTCTTTTTGCCCAGTATCACCTGAATACTATTAAGACTGAGTGGTGCAACCCTCACTGACATTGCTCCAGTGAATTGTTCAGGCTGGTTTGATTATTGCAGGCAACACCAGCCATTTCTACACAGATTGGGGAATGCAGTATCCAGGCTACCAAGCTGTGCTTGAAGTTTCTGAGGTCCTGATAGTTCAACCTGATGCTGAAGGAAAGCATGTCAGTGCAGACGGGTTCTCTCGTGAGTCTTGTACAAGACATTTTGTATACTGTTTGTCCACTAATCATTTCAGCCTGGAAAAAATGTCCATGCATGTGTATGTTAAATATTTTGCAAGACATGTTTTTCTTTTTGTATAAAACCTTGATCAGAAAAATCAAACCAAACAATTATGTATTTTTATTTACCTTATTATGAAAATTACATTCAAATAGAGGAGCCATAGAATAAAAAAAAATAAACAGTTAAAAACTGGTTTTGTCCTTTGCTTCAAGAATGGGTTAGAAATTCAAGAATAACTGCTATTGGTTCATTTAATTTTTCAGTTGTGTTAAGAGATACAAGTCCTAGTTTCCAGACTGTTTTAAGCTCAATATTTATTATAATAGAGTTCCTTACTCCAAACTCTTAAAAATAGTCCAAAATGTCCAGTTTCTAATCTTTGGAGGCAAGTCAACAAGGCTAATGCATTTACAGTATGTAAAAAAATCAACGTTTGCCATTTATTTCTTGGATTGGTAGGTGCAATTGCAAGGGGTTCTTCAGCCGTTTCAAGGCATCTTCCACCTATTGGTATGAAAGGGGGAAAATTGTGAGCTTGTGGAAAGTTCCTTTCAGCCTTCTAACATAGCGTGCTATGTTTTGCTATACTCTTAGCATCCGTCAAGCTTCCAGCACTCTGTTGATGCTAAGGCTGCTGTAGCAGAGTCCTGAACTAGGATTATGGAGACTTAGATTCTAGTCCTCTCTCAACTGTTAAGTGATTTGAGTAACGTTTTCCAGTCACTAACTCCTAGAGATAGCATATGCGGCTTTGGGCTTCTTGGAGGAAAGGTGGGATAAAAATATAACTGCGTCCTGACTCTTCCCTACATTATTTTCCACCTCTCCTATATCAGAGACTGTTAATAACTCTGAGAGAAAGAAAACACATGGCTTAAGGGCTGGAAGAGTAACAACAGATTGGATCCTTCCATGTAGCCATCTTCCACCAGTTCTCTGGATGTGCTCCCTGGCAAACATGAGCTAGGGAAATTATTTTTGTTGGTCCTATATATTTGTGCTAGCAGGAATTAAAAAAAATAATGAAACATTCCAGGGACAGCTTGGAGGAAATGAGATTAGGTATGGATGTTGGTAAAATGCATTCATCTGCCAATATAAATACCCCAAGTCTCTGATTGTTAAGAAATGGTTTATACTAGGTGTCTTCAACCTTTTCAGGCCCTATGGGCACATTTTGAAAATTAAAACTCTGAGAACACTACCAGAAAATGCAAGGTAGCTCTTTCCCTGTCCATCTCCTGCTGCAGGTCAGCCCACTGAGCAACCAAAGCATTTTCTGCACTGCAATTAGTCCTAAAACCTGACTAGAAAAGATCCAAATAGTAAGTTTTAACTGTGGAATGAAGATGCAGCTATGCACTTAATATGCCATTTTGAAAAAGGCTGTACACATGATAAACAAGATTACATACAGGATGACACCTGGTAATATTGCCCCAGTTAACTGTAGACTTCTTTAGTAAGAGTCGCTACTGCTTCATTCAGAAATTAGGAACTATTCCCTCTTAATGGGAAGCACAAACTACCGTCAAGACCCAATTAGATATGCCTGAACTTTCTGTTTTAGGCAACTAAGATGGGCAAGGGTCAAGCATATGTCTTTCCAGTCTCACATCTCCATGAAAGCTTAAGCTGGATACCCCACAACAACCCTCCATCCTTGTTTCAGAAGTGGACTCCCTAATCTGAATAGATGTAAGTAATTCTATCTGCAGAATGTCTTGCAAAATGGTCAACAGTAGGTCAAAGGTGGTTCAATCTCCAACATGGGTAGATTATAAAAGTCCTTTCACTACTCAGAAGACCAACCCCAGCTTAAACTGAGCGGATCCAGCGGTGTTGGTGATGGTGAAATAAGACTTCCACATTTCAAATTCAACTAACCACTTGAGTAAGCCACCTGAATTTGAAAGGGTTAGGCAAGATAGCAACGGGGTGGTGGGAAGCGCAGAAAGGTATCCTTGGGTATACGCTCATTGGTTAATGACATGCCAAAGACAGCAAAGGATTGTGAACTCACGATTGTGTTGTGCTAAATTTGAAGTCACGTAACAATGCAGAATGGCACAGTCCCCATTCCAGCTGGTAGATCTGCTGAAAGCAGCTACTGGCAGCAGGATCAGGTCTGTGCACAACAGAGACTCAGCACTTTGCTAAGATTATAATTCCCTCTGGACCCATAGTGCCTTCTCACCAGTCTGGGGAGTAGGGGGTGGGGGCAAGGCAGTGGTGGCAGGCAGGTCGTCCTGCAATTTGGTCTTCTCTTTTGCAGCTGGCGCATCTGAGTTGATGCTGAAGTTAAGGAGCAGCAGTGCTGAAGTCTACAAATCAAGTAATTCTTAATGGATTGGAAGGCTTGAGTAGATCTGGACTGCCAGATTCAACAGTATTAATTGTGCTTTTAAAACCTCCTAAAACAGTTTGTCAGCTTTTGCAGACAGCAAGGTAGATCAGGTTTGTTTACTCTGGAGCTGGAGGATTTTCTATTTCTCATCCCTTCAATACTAATCACAGCTGCTACAGCAGATGGAACGAGAAGCAAAACCCATTCATGCAATGTAACATAATTTTATCTGTTTCATCCCTGTTGAGAGGCTCTAGGTATGCATTTTAAATTCCCTTTTCCAAAATAAACCAATATATTCAGTTAGATAAGACTTTTCTATGAAGAGGTGGGGGCAAGGTTGGCATTTTGTTTTCTGTCAAGGGAGGGAGATAAAGTTGGCAGCCAGAGCTGCAAACACTTGAGCTTCAAAACATCCAATTTTCAATTAATTATATTGGATAGATGGAAACGTGTTGACTGAAAGTGAGAAATGCAACTACCTCTGCAAGTTCCTCTTTCAACTTGTTGTACTGATCCACATTGAAGCTCTGGCTTTTGGATTTCCTGTAAAAGTAATGGAGGAATTGCCTGTCTTGAGCCTCTGGGTAAATATAGTCCTGCATAAGTCAGGAAAAGGAAACAGAATAAAATACTTTGAAATCTCCAACTGGAGGATGATAGCTGTAAAATTTGTACATTTTATTGCAGCTGTTGTCATTAAAGGTGAAGAAAACATCCTATTTTAATTTAGATTAATTTGGACAAACAAGGAAAAACGGACATACAATGCATCACTTTGTCCCAGTTCAGAAATGCTGGCCCAAAGAGAAAGATCTCAGAATACCTCTAAAAGGTTATTAAGGAATTGTTTACATTGCCTTCCACAGTTGGTGCCCATGTTGGCCTACCACTCCCAGAGTTGCACAACTCTGAGAATTAAAGTTTTACACATAGAATCACCACAGTCAGCATGTCCTGAATAATGTCAGAAAATCAAGTCACCTTCTTCTTTTGTAGATGGAATGATTCTAAATCTCAAGGCAATGAGTGCTCCTTGAGGTGAGGAAATCAAATGAGGGCTGGCAGCCAATTTTATTCTTTTGTGGAGATTTGTAGTGCTCTTGTTTTTAATCTTTGCTTTGCACACTGTCTTGAGGGCTTTGCAGTTGAAAGGTTACCCATAAATACTGTAATGTAAAAGCTGTGAGTAAAATAGAACACTCAATGCTTTATCTTGCAATCAAAAATAACACCTAGGCATCCTTGTCGGGATACTTTAAAAGCCTCACAAATATACCCTCAAAAACTTTTGACTTCAAGTATACAAACGATAATATTTTCTGTGTGTATCATTGCTCCAAAAACGTTGCTTTAAGGAGACTTACCTGCTTAGTAAGTACAAAGTACGCATAGAATGCCATAGCACTTCCATAGGTGATAAAGTATGTGACAGGCTCCATGATATCCCATGAATAGACCCACCAAGTAAGCCAAGCCAGGGCTCCACCTTGAGTTGACATTAAGGCTAAGCCAATCCATAAAAGACGAGAAGTCTTAGCGTCAACAGATGCAGCAATTCCAGCTTTCATCTAGAAAGAGAACCTATGTTACACACCAAAGAAACAGCAGTGCTCAATTATGTTCCTCTCCCACATATTCCATTGTATTCAGATGTGTACTGAATTGGTCCTTCTTAGAGATCTGGAGTTTACAACATTCAAATAATTTTCCAGATGAAGACTGTATAAAATTCAAATGCTGAACTGTCATCTAGAGAGACTGTTTTCAGGGAAAGTCACCTGAGAGCAGACATTATGACAACTCTTTGGTCTTTTAGCCATCTTTGTTCAGTCTTCTAATGACCACTGGATATCAAGACCTAACTTTATCTGTTCTGTTGAGCTAGTGTTAGTGGCTTACAATGCAGTTCTATATGGACAGCACACTGTTAGACAAAAGCCTCCAGATTTGAAAGCTGCTGTGTATCGAATGTCCTGCAGGGGTGGTGGAGTGACAGTGGAAGTTCAGCTCATCTGTCACCTCTCCATCCTCCTATCTCATTTCCCTCTAGATGGGCTTCTGAGCCTGCCACGAGGAGAAGCACTGACAGGGGCACAGCGAGGGCTGGAGAGGTCAGTTCCTCTAGTAACCTAGTCATCTCCCCTCCCAGCCCACTGGAATGCTCCCTCTTCTTTGTGGCTTTCAGCTGCCTTTGTGACCTTAGCAAGCAGGCACTGTGGCTCCACCCAGAGCAGCCATGAGAGGTCAAGAAGAGAGAGGAGAGGCCCCCTTCTGAAGTCATAGCAACAACTATGGCTATGAGAAATCCTATGGTCCCTGAGATGCTCTCCAGAGACTGCCGCATTGTCCTCTTAATTAACAGAAAAAAGAAAGAAATATCTATATGAATAAATTTGTATGTATCTATTATATATATATATGAATGAATTTCTAGGAAAATAGTACATTCAAGTAATTATACATAAGCGTCAGTCAAAGTGGAGCAGATATCCAGGTAAGTATCCATTTGAAGGTGGCATCTATACATTCATTCAAATTTTGAAAGTGGTATAAGGTCCTCAATCTAGTACATTATAGGGCAAGAGCATTTATCTTTTCCATATTGCAATATCAATCTTTTAGCTCTCAAAAGTGCTGAAAATCATTTATGTGGAATATGCATTACCTTCCACGAAGCAGATAATTTAAAAGTATTTCACACCATTCTGATGCAACATTTACCTGCATAATAATCTCTTCTGAAAAAGAAGCAGCTAGTAAATAATGCCAAATCATATGCTTAAAAGACGCATTAGTTGTATTGACTGCCAACAATTAGCTAAATTAAACAAACCCATATTAAAAGTGATGCTGTGGCATCTAATAGGAACAAGTTTCTGCTGAATAAGACACAAGCAAAGATCCATGGATGCAACAGGTATAGGTGCCAGAGTGGCAATCGACTGATTAGGCAAACTAGAACAATCCATTTCCCTATTCCATTCCTGCTTTGTATTTATTCACCTTATTTTTGGACACATATTTAAAGACATGAATGATGGATTGCTTTGCCTGACCAGCCAGAGGTACTTTCAGTAACATCAGAGACTGGTATTGTGAAAGTGTTAGGGTTAAATCTTGATCCTAACAAATGCTGCCGTTGCAGGAATTGCCATCCAGCCGTTGCTGACAAATATTTAACATGAGGGATGACAATAACTCATCTTTACCACCCACCATTTAATCCAAACCAAACATTATCTTATTTGTCCATGTCCACCGTTTTCTTGCCAATTTCTAAAACTGGATTGCCTCATAAAGTCAATGGATCAAAGTGTAATTGATGTGACATTTTATGCCGCACATCTTTAGCAGGAGAAACCACAGGAGGAATCTGGTTCGTTCTTGCATGCCTAGAACCTAATGACATCCATCTAGAGAGAGGAAACAGCCAAAAAAGATCCCAGGCTGCCCAAGAAAATCAGCTATAAAAAGGAAAGACCAAAATTTATTAGAAGTCACTCTGTAACTTGATGTAAAGCAAGATTGTCTAAAAATAATTGTCCAATATAAAGCAATAGCACATATAAACAAAGAAGGTGAGATATCTCAGCTTTAAAGATGCCCATCTAATGAAATTCAAGAAATTGCATTAATCAGATCTATGTATTTATAAATTTCTCATATATGTATATATATTAGATATATATTATTCATTACATATAATACATATACGTAAATTTTACAATAAAATGAATTACTGATTTAGCAGGTGAAAGACACAAGTTGCTGAATTCATCACAGATTTTCACAAAAGGTTTCTTTAAAAGAAGTATTTTTCAAACCTGCTCTAGGGGCAACAGTTCTTCTTTTAGAAGTTCCATTTTTTGCATTAGTTCCCTCTCTCTCCTTTTCTGATGATCTTCTAAATGGAGTGCTACAAATAATCTTTGGATCATAGACTTGATATCATCTATCTCTGTAACACGCTCTGAGCTCATGTTACCTGAAAGGAGAATGAAATCGGGAGTCACTATACAATGAAACTTTTGGGACTCCTGAACTTCCACCACAACCTCTCCAAGGATGAGGAGTTACATATGACAATGTACAGGTAGCAATCCTCCAGGAGACTGCAGTGGTCAGTGGTACCCAGGAACCCCTTGTTATTACTACTGGACCCTAATTCAGGCTCAGAAGCATGCAAACTGAGCAAGGTTATGCAAAAATGCTTGCATTTCAATTGTGCTCATTTAATTTTGAATGCAAAAGTGTTAGTGGTGTTGCTGTTCTCATGAAGAGTGCTGGAACGGGACTCTGGAGATCTGGGTTCTAGTCCCCACACAGCCATGAAGCCCACAGGGTGACTACAGGCCAGTCACTACCTCGCAGTTTAACCTACCTCACTGGATTCCTTACTAGAGGAATAAAAGTGTTAATATAAATTCAATGTAATAATGCAAATAAGAATAAGAAGACCATACCATCCAGTAGCCAACTCTCCAGGCAGTTCACAACAGTTTGCCCAGAGAGTTTTGGATATTGCGCACCATAGAAATTAATTAAATTAATAACCCCCTCCCCCCATAAAAAAAAAAAAAAAAACCTGCCTCCCTCCATATTTGAGTATAAACTTTTTTGGCTAAGACAAGCAACAGGGTTTTTTTTTAAATGACAATAATCATTTAAAAGCATAACGACTATTTATTTGTTTAAAACTTTTATACCCCGTCCATCCAACTTACAATAAAGATGGCCACTAGATTCAATCCTAGTTTCCGAGAATAAAAAATGAAAGAAAAACAGATGTTGATGGTTGGGGATTTAAGGCTGCAATTCCACATGTGCTTACCTCACAGTACAGTCCCATTAGACCCAATGGTGCAAGCTTCTGAGTAGAGGTACCAACAAAAACAGTTTCTATTTTTAAAGGCTTTGGGCACAATCCTTTGGCCTCTTGAGAGATCCCCTGGGAGAACAGAGGATTTTTCAGAGTCTGAGTACTGAGGGCCTCTGACCTCAGATTCTGAGGTCTGAGCCCACCCCCTGGGTCAAAACTAGGCTTCGGAAGAGGAGAAAAAGGGTGTGACAGGAATGGGAGGAAGCTGGGCTGTAGAATTGTGCCAGTTCCATGTAGTTGTCCCAGCCTCCTTCCTTCCCTCCTCCTCAACTCTAAATCTAAATGGATGAAATCAGATGCCACCATGTCTTGTACCAGATACTTGAAAGCCTCTAAGTTCAGAGGCTTATGAGCATCTGCTGCAGGGGCAACAGGCCTGGATTTCAAGCTGCAATTCATTTAAAACTTAGTAATTTCACAGCTAAAAGTTTCCCGAGCATTTTGGGATGGTCATGAGTTTGTGTACCTTTTTGTGAGGGGTGTACACTATATTCTGCACCATTGATGACAAGTTTGAAGTTGTTCATCAACAGAACTTCCATCAGTGTTGAAGTTGAAATCACACTGCCATCTGCAGGAAAAAATGAATGAAAAAATTAGGGCGATTTATATTTTATTGAAAGAATCACTATGTTGATTACAGGCAATGAAATTCAATATAGGCAACATTTACTACACCAGTATCTTGTGCAGTGAGCTTACTTTCATGAATGTCTTGTGCCTAATAACACTCGTGATATGACATTGCATCTAAGGTTTTCTCTCTTGGCCAGTAACAGCTCGAGGGGGGGAGGGAGGGGGGAAAGAGAGAGCACACAGACATGCTCATAATTTTCACTGAGATCACAACATGGGAGACAGGGCTAAAGACGGCTTCCAATTCTGTTCCTTCAGTCTGTGGCAGCAGAAATAATGCTGAAAATGGAGGGTTGTATTTGATGGATATTTACTTTGCTAAGCATTAGGAGTACAGGAAATGGCCTTATGACAGGTCAGACTGTTTATCCAGTGAGGCCAGTTTTGCGCACTCCACCTTTCTTAATGGCAGTGATGCAGTAAAGGTCCTTCCAGTCACCTGTACCCTCATCTTTTTAGCTGGATGCCAGGTATGGAAAAATTGAGACCTTCAGAAAGCTAATTGTAGTGGTTGGGTCTGCTTCTCCCACTCCAAGGTAAAGATTTCCAACTCTGAATCTGAACTGGGAAAGGATGCAGGATTGGAATGTTTAGCTGAAATGTCAAAGTCAACGAGCTACAGGATAAGCTAGGCAGCTGGTGAGAACCAGACCGTTTCTGATTCAGGGGGAGACACTGTAGAACAGAGAGCATCACAGGGGGTGTGAATTTCTCAATCCAGTAGTTTGACATCAAGTCAGACAAGCAGACCAATTAAGTATCATCCAGCATTCCTGTCATCTGGCCTAAGAGTAGTATGGACCTCCCTGAGGGTTAAGCCAACTCTGTTTGGTAGAGTAGAGGGGAGGGGAATTCAGTTTGAGAACAATTCCTGGTATGAGCAAGAACTAATTTCACAACCAACCATTTTAACTCTATGGATGCCTCTTCCTAACTACCTTTGTGTTATTTTCACAAAGTCAGTCCTGACTGGTCCGTTTGAACACAATAAAAGTTGTAGTTAGAGGCCTCTCCTCCTGACCTGCTCAGAAGGAAAAAGGAGAAACTGGGAGAGAGAGAAATGTACCCTTGAAACAAAACATATGCTCTAGAGAACAGTCTCAATATTGATTTAAACTAGCTCAGTAAAGGCTTTGATAAAACATTCAGCCTGGAGCTTGGCCAGTTTTTCTTTATCTGTCTCACAAATGAAATGTGCCATAGGCAAATCCATGCAGGCATTTCCTGACTGGAATTCTATCACCTGGATTCCTGCTGGGCATCTGATGATGGGAACTGTAAAGTACAGAGCTTTTTTTCCCCACCCAATCTATCGGGGTTACAATCTGGCACAACAATGAAAAGGGGGAAAGCATTAAACATTTAGATGTATGAAATATTCTGGGGTTTTTTTTTGTTCTGTTCAACAGCAAAGAATTCATAAAGAAAATGTATTAGCACAAAAATGCTGAATTACATGTAACTGCAAATGATATTTAGTATATTAATAAAATGCAACTTATTTTTGGGAAAAGAAAGTGGGTCAGGAATATTTGTCTGAAAGCATTGCACAAACTCTCTTTTGCACCTGTTGAAGTGTTCCTTTCATCTGCCTTAGAGCTTAAATACATTGGAGGTCTGATGATACAAGTCTCTCTAGTAGTCTATAACCACAAACAGCCTTCTGTAAGATAATTTTTCATTCAATGGTGCAGGTGCATAACCATCAGTCAAACGTCACTTATTCTGAGCTTATAAAAAGGTACAAGTATAGAAAATGAAATGCATCTGCAGGTGTGCCAAGAATGGTTTCATCGGAAGTCTGATAATCTCTTCAGCAGAAATTACTAACATGAACCTTCTTGGCATACATTTTTGTCTCCAGCATAGGAATAACAACATGCAGTTCTTTTCTTTAAAAGACTTGTAGGGACCCCAGGCTTTAGTTAAAACCTTTTGTTGTTAGTCGCGAAGTCGTGTCCGATCCATTGTGACCCCATGGACAACATTCCTGTCCTCCACCATCCCCAGGAGTCCACCCAAGCTCACACCAACTGCTTCAGTGACTCCATCTAGCCACCTCATCCTCTGCCGTCCCCTTCTTCTTTTGCCATCTATTGTTCCCAGCCTTAGGCTCTTCTCCAGGGAGTCCTTCCTTCTCATTAGGTGGGCAAAGTATTTGAGTTTCAACTTCAGTTTCTGGCCTTCTAAAGAGCAGTCAGGGTTGATCTCCGCTAGGACTGACCGGTTTGATCACCTTGCTGTCCAAGGAACTCGCAGGAGGCTCCGCCAGCACCACAATTCAAAGGCCTTAATTCTTCAGCGCTCAGCCTTCCTTATGGTCCAGCTTTCACAGCCATACATTGCAACTGGGCAAACCTTTAAGAATCCATTAAAAGAAATAGAAAAAAAATCCCCTTTCTTTTGTAGAACTAGTTTGGAAGTTTTTATTGACAGTACCAGCCTGCATATTTTTGGCATCCATCAGGCAACATTCTCCTTAGTATCCCTCCCTCTGAGTTCCCATCAACGTTTGCTGGCACTTCCTCTTTTTTCCCAAGGAAAGCTAGGGCAAGGGTGACAGAGGAAAGAACATCAAGGAGGAGTACCAGCAAGACCCACTTGAGTGGTAGTGGTAGTAGCAGTAGTATGTCTTCGGCTAGAACGTATGTCTTAACAGGTGCCCAACTTTGTTAAGCTCTGATCTTAACCCTGCTCTTGGCAAAGCTTCTCAATCAATGAAGAAAAACAAGCATGAGTAAAGCAGGGTTCCACAATCACTTTGCTATTCATGCAAGGAGTTTGCATTGAACTACATGCAAGGTGTACAAGAAGCATTAGTACCTGATGTGAAGACTTCTACCTTTTCAATTGCATTATCTTCCCTCTGTATGTCCTGCAGGAAGTCTCCCACAGTCATCAGCATGGGCTTGACGATAAACTGACATCGTTCTCCTCTTGATGGCAGTGTGAGGGTTATCACTGGTAGTCCATATTTATAATTAATTGTTACTTCTGGTGGAGGGCAGGCGGGGCGGGGCGGGGCGGGGCGGGGCAGAAGAAGAAAAGCATTTAATTTTATTTATACCCAAAGGCTCACAATAACGATCATAATAATAGCCCTAAACAGCAAGGCAGTAAATTGAAGCACCTCTTGAAAATCCTGGCAAAACAGAAAAGCCTGATACATTTTTCTGGTTATAACCATATAAGTTGGGAGCAACCAGTTGTGCTACTATGACGTTCTTGAAGAAAGGGTGCGATGAAACTCTACTAAATTGATATCAATACAAGTCAAACACTAGAACATTTGACATGAAGTCTCTTGTACAGTACTCAGGTATAACGGAGAAGGATTCACTCTGAAAACCCACAGGGCTATACTCAGGATGTGGAGCAAGAAGCTCTGAGTTCAACTCAGCAGGTGGTCAAAGAAAAGGCATTATCTGCTGCAAACATGCCTTACCCAACCTGATGCCCTCCAGACAGGTTGTTGCAGGTGGCCACATGCAACCCACCCCTGGTGTACATGTACATTATTCAAGGAGGACCATGAATGCTTAGGAGTCAGAAGTGCTGAAGGGGCACAAAAATGTACAGGCATCCAATTGTTCAGAATAAAACAACTTTTTTCTTGGCTATGCACCCCAAAACTGCGAGAAACCAATTTCTGATATGAAAACAGTAACTAATAAGGAAGCTTACCATCAGATGGCACTAGTGTGCCATAAAGTGCTGTTCTATGATGTCTTAGGTTTCCAGTTTGCTTCAGACATAGTATCTGCAAAGATGATGGATTAGATGTCAGCGTTTTCAGCTGAGTACATTCAGTATAAAGCCTGTTTTTCATCCCTGAGCTTCTTTCCCCAGAGCCAACTGAATAGGTTAGAAGACCAGATATTTATTGAAGATTCTAGTTTCAGAACCGAGTGTGCCAAGATTCTGGGTAATGCACAACAGGCAAGAAACTCAATCATATTGTCATGAGCAAACCTCTTAAAATCAAAAACTCTTCCTCCACTTTTATTTGATTGCAAAGATTTCCAAAAGATAATCTAAAACAAAGATAGAAATGTAGTAGAGGATGATGTGTAAAATACAAAGTTAATACCATGGATGGAACTTAGCAGAACATGTTAATTCTTAAACAGTAATACAGGAGAGATTTAACTTCAGAAATAGGAAATATAAAATTAATAGCAAACCCCCAAATATTTTTCTTTTTAAAAGCTTAAAAGTTCAAGAAGCTTAAATGAATTATATACACAAGGTTTTAAAATAGAGTCCCTGAACAAATTTAAGCTTAAATTTGAACAAGATAGAGAGTTTCATAGGATAACTGAACAATGAATTACTGCTCTGGGTAGTCAATTTTTCCTATGAAATGCACTGGAGCTTTTTGCAGGAGGATAATTGTTTTCTAGTGTATTAGAGGCAAGAACACAAGAGATGTTCAACAGGTTTTTACCACTTAAAATCCTTCCCCAGCTGTTTTCCTTCTCATGGGGTTCCAGTTGCAGGTGCAAACACCATACCAACATCTAATCATGCTGAACTTGTTGGGACTATACTAGCATAAGGCCAAAAGTCACACACTGTTATGCCAGGTAATCTTGGGGAGCTATACACAGGCAGTCCTTAGGTTACAAATGAGATTCATTTCTGAGAAAATTGAAATTTGCCTTTAAGTTGAATTTCACAGGTGTTAGGGGAGCAGGACGCTCATAAAGTGGCAAAACTGTGAACATCTCTAGGCCCCCTCCTTGCCCAAACTTGTCAGTGCCTCTTCTTGGCAGCAAGGAAATGCTGGAGAAATTTCCCTCTCCAGATGAGCAAGGCAGGGAGGCATGCTTTGGAGGCCTCCCTCTCTCCCCTTCTGCTTCCTCTTTATGGGAATGATTTTCCATTGTAATTTTAAAAAATTAATAAGCTTTATGGCAGTTTCTGCTTATATACGAGTACTTTGCAATGCGAACTTTCATAACTTGGGGACTGCCTGCACCTGAAAAGAAGGCGCTTCTCTTCCAAACTGCCTCAAAAGGTTTGGGATCTTTTGCTGGGGTTTAACAAACAGGGCCAGAGAGAACAAGCCTTCATTTTGCATTCACACAAACACACATAACACTTATTCAACAAAAAGCATAGAGAGGGCACAGGCTTTTAACCCAATATTGTCTAGACAGCAAATTTCCTGTTGCATCCAAATCTTACTCTCTATTTCTAAAGAGATAAAGAACTTCCTGCATACCAGAGAGAGAAGCTAACAGACAGGGAGAAAGCTTGGGAAAGGGAGTCCATTACCTGTCCTGCAGGGTAGACTCTTGACAGAAGTCTTATGCATGAGCAGGAAGTGTGCAAGGCATCCACAGCTGTGTGTGTGGGGCGGGGGGGGGGCAGGCCTGTGTTCGGAGTTTGCCTCCCTCTTCCTATGTTCAAAATGGGTCTGACCCCTTAATGTCTATTCCTCAGACTCTTGTTTCTGTAAGCATGTGTCTATGGGAAAGATGAGTCTGAAGGGTGCTGACTGTTTCTTGATAACCATAACCTTGTTTCTCTGGGTAAGCCTTGAGTTCTTTGTCTGTGTTTCTAGGTGCTAGAGGTAATTTCTAGGTGTCTCAGGACAATGGGTCATCCTCCTTGCAGGGTTGATTTGCAAACCTTTTCAAGGGAAATATTTGACCTTTTCTTTGCAAGAATCCCAGCATCCTCTCTTACTACACACTGGCTTGCCCAGGATATTATGTCCTTCTTCATGTATTCAAGCCTACCAACATGGCCCATAGCTGGAAAGCCCTTTCTGGCCTGGGAGCTTATTGTTATGACCCTAATATTGATATATACATGCATTACAGCCTGCATTTTAAAAGACCTTAAAGGAACTGAGGAATTTTCTGTGGTTCAGGCGATACATGCTATGACCATTCATGGTTTATTCCTTTCCCATAAATGTCACCACAGAGCTTCAGCTATGGTGGAAAAAAGACACTCCCTAACCTCCTTATTCAAGATGCTGGCCATCTTGCATAGGAAGAGGTCATTGCTTGGTGTGAAGAGCACATGTTTTACAGACAGAAGGTACCAGGTTCAATCCCTGGCATCTCTATGTAGGGGCACGAAAGAATCATGCCTGAAATTCTGGAGAACTGCTGCCAGGATGTCTCTACATTACTGGGCTTGATGAACTGATTCAGTATAAAGCAGCTTCCTATGTTGGCCCCTATTGTACTGAAGCCACGGTATCCTCCCAGCCCACCCCAGTGCTCTTCTCTTGGGTGCCTCTCCGTACTCAACTTTCCTGTGAAAATGATGGGGCTTATCCATTTTTTTCTGAAAAAGGAAAATAGCAGTAGTATGGCTTAGGGCACTAGTGCTGAAAAACATACGTGCTCTTTTGAAGAGAAAGGCGGGTGTAAGGAAAAGGAGTAGCGAGGAGCTGGCTTTGATAATTGAGCTGGCACAACTGCCATGGTGACACTGACAGCATCAACTGGCGGGTGTGCAAAATGATGCTCTTTCCAATTCTGAAGCTGAGCAGCTCAGTAAGGACGATCTAGACCAGGGGTCTGCAACCTTAAACATTCAAAGAGCCATTTGGACCCATTTCCCACAGAAAAGAAAACACCGGGAGCCACAAAACCCTTTTGACATCTAAAATGAAGATAACACTGCATATATCGTTTTTTACCTTTATGCTATGTATAAAAAAACTATAGTCTGTTTCATTTATGAAAACAATGAATGATTCTTTTATATAATCTCCATCTGTGAGCGGCTTCCCGTGCCTGACTATTTCCTGAGCGGCCACAAAACTAGCATATATAGTTGAATTTGCAGGCTTCATCCACTTCTTGAAATGATTTTTGCTCAGCTCAACCTTCCACATCAGTTCCAAAATGGCTTTTTTCCCCTCAATCTCCATCCGGATATTTTTCAAGCAAAGGCTGTGTGTTTATTCTGGAAATGTCTTGCAACATTCGACTTTTTGTTGTTTGCCAATTTCTCACCACATATTAAGCATACTGGTAAACCAGTCTCATCAGCAGTGAAAGCAAATTGATCTGCCCACGTACCATTAAATGTTCTGTTTTCTTCTGAAACTTTTCTTTTCTTGGATTTATGCATGGTTGGCTTACCGGGGGTCGAAAAGCTCAATAAATCGCGTGCCGGCAGATGTCGCACATTGGCAGTTGTGACACATATTTTGAGTGACAGGGAGCCGCAGTAGAGGGATGAAAGAGCCATATGTGGCTCCAGAGCCGCGGGTTGCTGACCCCTGATCTAGACATTTGCCTTGCTCCACCAAGTTTTGGTGCGTAAGTACTGGATAGTACAGGTTTGGATGTGGACATGAAGGCCAGTCATGAAAGCTGTAGATCCTATAGATGAGTGAAGTCTCCCTAGCATCTCTGACCTGAGAAAAGGTGTTACTCTGACCCAGTCTGAGGAAGGAAGAAGGAGAAAGATGGCCATCAACAACATTCCCTACAGAGAAGAGAATGTAAAAACCATGAAAAAAGATTCTTAAAAATGTTCTGATATTTGAAACAAAAGATGCACTTAAATAGTACAGACTTGACAGCAAAACAAAAAAGGAACAAACCTGGGATGATATAGTAAATTCACCCCTTCACATAGCCCCACATAAAATAACCTCGACATTTTAAACTGAATGTCTGGATTGTCACATGTGAAGGAAAAAGCAGCTTGAGCAGTGAAGTTTTAATATGAGAAATAGCCCTTACCTGAATGAGCATTTGAATTTGCTTCTCACACCCTGGTGATTACCAAACTAATTTTCTTTTCAAAACAAGGCAAACAGAAGAAAAGCAAACTATTATTGTTTTTGTGTGAAATCATCAAACCTAGCAAACTTTTCCTGTTTTAAAAGAAAAGTTGTGCTTCATTTCTGCTTTAAGTTAATATCCATTTACCTGTGATTCTGGTTACTATAGGATGCTCGCAAATTCTAGTACAGTTTTATTTCCTTTGCTACAAAGTTTTTAGAACAACTTGCAAGTGGCAACCTCATTTCCAAGTAATCAATTTAATTTGCTTTACAAAATTGTCCAATTGCTCAGAAAGCCAGCATGGGCATTTTGTTTGTCAAGTAACTTCAGTATCTATATTTGTATATCTCAACATCGCTTCCTTGTCATCTCAAATCTGAGTAACTGTTTGCTCTGTCAAAATAATTGCAAAGCCATAGGTTCCTTTTGCAAATGCTAGAAAATTTATCGAAACAAATCACACTTCACTGTTCAATGAGTAATTGCAAGATTTATGATGACAAGTACCTGGTTAATGGAAAATGCTGCTTTGGTAGATAAATTGAGAGGAGAAAGAATAAGTGAACAGTGCCAGTGCTTGCTTAACACAAAACTGACCAAGAGAATTTTGGCTTATGCTATAGGGTAGCTCTAAGTGTTCATTGTACAACGCATACCATTAATACGTATTAAGAAAAAGTGCTGATTAAAATATCTATTATTTTTCTTGAAAAGTTCAGTTGGCTCAGTTTTACAACCAACTTTCTGTTGGTCTGTCTTTGACACAGAGGAATGTAAAACCAGGCAACATCAGGAACTTCAGTGGAAATATATGGCTCACACACAGCAAACTAGCACTAACGTATACGATGAAACAGTAGATGAATCAATACTTCAGAGCAATTGTGGAATCCCACTGGGCAAATACAATCAAGTTGTATTTGCCTTGCAAATATACAGGATGTTGCCCTGAAATCAGGACTAAAAAGTTTTACCAATTAGCTGAGAACATAAC